TAATTCGTTCTCTTGAAAGTGAATAATTTTCTTTAACGTATTTGTCCAAACCATTAAAATTCAAAGTCTTTTTAGAAAAAACTTTCATTCCGGTGAAGTGACATTTGGTCTTTATTGTCAAAAACAAGCAAAAATTAATAAACGGAGGGGGCGGGGGTCTTAATAAGCCTAGGGTGGGTGGGAAAAGTTTTCAAAAATTGATAAACGTCCCCCTGTATTAAAGACTCGAGAGTAACATGAAATGAAAAAGCCGGGTGTTAATATAAATGTTGGATGCCGAATTAATACATATTTGTATTAACACTACACCCAATCTATCTGCAGAAATACTTTTTAAGTATTGCATATCTGCAGAAATATTTTTTAAATATTGCTTCAAGTAGATTTTTTTTTCTCATCAAGTATCAGCAATCACATTGATTAACATTAAAATGTTTTAGGTGTATGATTAAATCAGTTTTTATTAAATCTGCAATTCTACTATCTGTTTTATTATTTAGCAAATATTTTATATTTATTTATTTACTTATTTGCAAGAATATATGAACAAGGTAAATCAAAACAAACCAAAGTACTAAAAATAGATATAAATATTTTGTATTAATTTATTAATTATTAATAATTAGGTAAAACTATTTTATTCCAAAAAAAAAAACCACGACAAAAAATACAATATTTTTAGTTTGGAAAAATGGCTCTTCAATACTTTTACTGACAAGAAGATCATATTTTTTTTTAGGTTTCATTATGCATTTAAAAGTCAATTTGGACGTCACAGAGTTTAAAAAATCAGTTCCATAAAAATTTGATTGATTTTTAATCGTGTAAAATCGTTATTAATTTTTACAATTTTTTTTTTCAAGGAAAACGCAAACAAATAAAATTAGTCAAGTTTTTAAAAACTTGCTTAAATACTTTAATACGAGAATTATTTAATATTAAGTCAATATTTGATTTAAGATTAATACAGAATATATTTAGCTACTTTCTTGCGGAAAAACTTGTGGAAAATCTTTATTTCTTTTGTTTGCCCACTAATTACCCACTCTGTTTCAATGTACAAACGCTTTGAGCTTAGACACGTTTAATACAATTGTTTACAGTTAGACGTGTTTATACAATTGTTTACAGTTAGACGTGTTTAGACAATTGTTTACAGTTAGACGTGTTTAGACAATTGTTTATTCTCTATAAAAAGATAAAAAAATATATTTATATAACATTTATTCAAATAAAAGTTTGTTTAGCAGTTATGACACTTTGTTTAAGTTAAATTATTTTGATAGGTAAATTAATCTCTCAAACTTAACCTGAAATTTAATCAGATTAACCTTTAAATTAATTTATAGTTCTTTAAATTTATATATTTATTTTTTTATGTTTTGGTTTTTTTAGCGTAACTTTTTTTGATCTTTTTATTTCGATCCATAAGCTGAAATATTGAATAAAAAGCCTAATTATCAACCATTGTTAATTTTTAGTTGTGTGAGAATTTTATTACAATTAACTGTAAATGATGTAAAAACCCAAAATATAAATCATCTATTTAACTTTTTTACTAATTGAATATATTTTTATATTAGTTCATAAAGTTTTATCTAATTATTACATTTTCAAATTAAAAATCTGAGAATATTTAAGTGAAAAACTAATCTGATTAGAGGCTATCCATTAGTTACGTCAACATAATAAGGGGAAGGGGAATTTTGTATAAGATTTGTTGACAAGGGGAGGGGAAGGTCAAGAAAAGTCGACGTGAGTAATGTTACTTTTTAAAAATAAGTTTAGCTATTTTAAAAAAGAAAAATTAGGCAGCTATTTAAGTCCTATGTTACATACTCGCGTAAACTACCTTATGTTAATAAAGCTATTTATATTTCTACTATTTGTGCTTTAAAAAGACCCGACACATATAAAATTACATAACTACACACGAGACAAATAATAATATAATAATTAAATAAAGATGTTGGTAGCGCTTTAAAAGCTAAAAAACTTTATAACTTCTAAATTTTGGCTCTTCCGTCTCAAACCGTTGCCGTCCCTTGGTTTATACAATATATGAAATTGATTTTTTGTTATTTTAAACTCTATTTAAAATAATTGGCTTTCACTGTGATTTTGGATTAGGTCTAATGCTAAAGCGAGGAGAATTTTATTAATATAAAACTTGTTTTTAATTTAAACGTGTAAGGCGTATACATTTTGGTGAACCTTTTAATCTTTTTTTTGTTAGGGTTAGGATATATATATATATATATATATATATATATATATATATATATATATATATATATATATATATATATATATATATATATATATATATATATATATATATATATATATATATATATATATAATATAACCTTTCTGTAATTTAATTTTTGAAATTTAATTTTTGGACTTTCTGTAATTTAATTTTTGGAATAAATTGGAGTTTTATTAATTTGATCATTCATTTCTGATGAGTCTTTATTGATGAAAAGTGTTAAATTAAAAAATTTTGCTAAGTGATTTCTACTAATTTGTAGTTTATATATTATATAAACTACAAATTAGTAGAAATCACTTAGCAAAATTATAGATCACTTAGCAAAATATAGTTTATATATATATAGCAAAATTATAAATCACTCAGCAAAATATAGTTTATATATTATATAAACTACAAATTAGTAGAAATCACTTAGCAAAATTTTTTAATTTAACACTTTTCATCAATAAAGACTCATCAGAAATGAATGATCAAATTAATAAAACTCCAATTTATTCCAAAAATTAAATTACAGAAAGTCGCATGTCTTACCAACTGTAATTTTTCACACATTTGTGGAATTTCCTGACACTATTATAAAAAAAATTCATAAGAAATTATTACTTATGCTTTTTTTTAAAAAAATTTTAAATTTGATGTAACTATTACTTGAGCTCACTTATTTTGATAGTTTTTTAGGAGAAACTTATTTTCGTGCCTGTCTTTAGAAATCAATTCCGATTTTTTGTTTAATAAACATTCTTGGTTTGCATGTGTAATAAATTTAAACTTTTCTTGTAGCATTAGCATAGCATTTTTCGGAAATTATATATACATGCATACATATATATATATATATATATATATATATATATATATATATATATATATATATATATATATATATATATATATATATATATATATATATATATATATATATATATATATATATATATATATATATATATATATATATATATATGTATATATATATATATAGTAATAGTAATATTTATTGCTGTAACAATTACATATTTGTTTAAATATAAATATTTAAAAATAAAATAAATTGTGGAACGCGATGCAAGCATCGGGTTATAGACAGCCCACACAAATTTAAAAAAAAAAAAAAAAAACACAAGTTATGAAAAATGTTTATCTATTTGCGCTTTGAAAACATTCAACGATGTTGCTTCAATGATTTCATTTGGTAACAAATTTCAATTTTTACAAACTCGATTGGTAAAAAAATTGTATCTCGGTAAACATGATGGTACGTATTCTCTTTCTAGCCTGTATTTATTACCCCTTACAGAAAACGGATATATATATATATATACCCGTTAAAATATTTGTATATATATATATATATATATATATATATATACATTCTTTTTTTCTTAATTTTTTTTTTTTTTTTTTTTTGGGGGGGGGAGGGGTAATTGAATGTTTACGTAATTTAATTAGAGGGGTCTTTGGAAGTTTGGCTTGTTGTTGACAAGGGGGAAAGGGGTAGGTAAAAATCGCCCACAAATTGTTTACGTAATTAATGGACAACCCCTTACACGCTCTAACATATTCTAATTAGAAAACGAGTTTTTCTATTTTCTATTGATCTATCGTAAATTACTGTTATCGATCTTTGTTGACTAAATTAGCTTTATTTGAGCTGTAATTTATATTTTGTCGAGGAAACGCGACGAGACGATTTAATTTAACGTCTAGAAGTTAAATTAAATAAAGTTTTTTTCACTAAGTTTGTAAAATAAAAAACATATTAGAAACCACAGCATAAAAATCCTTTATATAAAAAAGTTTCGAAATAAGACAAAAAGTTATAACATGTTTCGACGCGTTAGAAAAAGTTCCCGAAAAAAATGCATAGCGATTGGTAATAGTCACAAAGCTCAAATTACCTATTGTTACACACCAGTCATTTTTTTAAGTTTACATGGTTTTGTCCAAAGAGTCAAAGTTAAAATGCATCAGTCTATATAAATATATTATCCATAAGATTTTTTTATACGCGTACCTTAATATAATGATGATTTTATTGGGACGACTAAGCATAAGTGCGAATGGCGTAAATGCGAACTGGCATAAGTGCAAATCAGCATAATTGCAAAACAGCAAAAGTGCAAATTGGAATAAGTGTGTCAAAAGATTTTGCAAACATTGGCATAAGTGCGAATTGGCATAAGTGCAAACTGGTATAAGTGCGAACTGGCATAAGTGCGCCGAACAAATTTTCAAACATTACCATAAGTACGAATTAGCATAAGTGCGAACTGACATAATTACGAAATACTAACTTGCACTTAGGCTAATATTTGAATATTTATGATTATATTAATTATAAATTAATAATATTTCGGCGCACTTACGCCCATTCGCATTTATGCCAGTTTGTACTTATGCCAGTTTTTGTAACTGCTTCGCACTTATGCCAGTTCGCACTTATGCCAATTCGCACTTATGCCAATATTTGCAAATTTATTTGGCGCACTTATGCCAATTCGCAGTTATGCCAGTTTGCACTTATACCAGTTTTTGCAACGCTTCGCACTTATGCCAGTGCGCACATATGCTAATTCGCGCTTATGCAGCCTCCCCAATTTTATTGATGTCAATCAATTTGAAAATACTTTTTGTCGTATCTTATATTTTAATACCTTCTTTAAAACTTTGATAAAAGATCTTATCGGAAATATGCAAACCAAAAAGTTTATTTTTTTTTTAGTGCAAGTTAGTGCCTAATAATGGTGGTTTTGCTGTTGTTTGCAAATCAAACGTAAGCAGTCATCCAACAAAACAAAAGGTATTACTTTATTAGCAAGTTATAATTTAAATTTATTATCTTGTGATGTTCATCTAATCAAAGGTTTTTGGTTATCGTAAAAATGATGGTTTTATATAATAATATTATATTACATCATCATTTTTACAATTACCATTAACCTTTGATAAGCTGATCGTTATAGAATAATGAATTAAAATTTTTATATAATGTATAAAATTTTGCCTTAAATAATAATTTGAATCTAGGCGGTTTGATGCTTAGTATTATGAGGAACAGGGGTATACTATTGAAAAATGAGTAAATGTCAACGGGAGGGGGTTGAGGGAGGCGCTGACCCGTAAAATTTTTTTTTTGAGATTGCATATATAAATAACATATTCAGTTTATACTTGTATGTAAATTTTTCCATACCTATAATGCGAAGCTCACGCACTAAACAACTAACTTTATTTAATTTACAACTATCTTTGGTAAAATAAGAAACATTTAAATTTACTGTAATGTTATTTAAATGTATATATAACAAAAGATGTATCTCTGAAAGCAAGCATTAAGGAAGAAGTTTGATTTTCTGTTAGTTTGTACAAACTGTTTACAGTAAGCCTTCATTGAAGCAAAACAGTATAACGGTGATTTAAAGTCATTGATTTTAAAAAGCCTGTCTCTTCAATTATTGTATCATTAATACTTTAAGTTCGTTTTTTCTGACACAAACATTTGTTTTTTGAGCCATTTTGCTTCATCAAATTTATATATTTTTTTATTATAGTTTTTTGAATTGATAACTATTAGTTCAATATTATTATTAAAATATTTAAAGTTAACGATTTATTAAAAAGTTAAAAGTTTACTTACTTACCTGTCGTTTAGAGTTACGAAAAAAAAGCAGAACATCAAAAAAATAAAAAACCTTCAATATCTGTAGAATGCACAGATCTTGAAACAAACTCTAGTGACGAAATAAATGGCTTTATTTTGGAAAAAATCATGATACTAAACTGTCCATTAAATATGTTTTTGAAAGGCATGAGGTTAGAAAGAAATGACACAAAGGCAGTAATGAAGTATACCTGCTGCACCTGGATACCACTTGTTTCATAAAGAAGTTTATTTATTAGACTTTTGTAAAGACATTTTTTTGTATTATTGCTTTTCTTTTAAATAAACAGAAAAATAATTTATTAAGCTTTAAAAATTATTGTAATTTTTGTTGAACCTATCTTCAGTGCCGAATCAAGGGAGAGAGGGCTAGGGGGACTATAGCCCTGGGCTCCGCAAATTTAGGGGCCCCCAAAAAATTTAGAGGACCTTTTTTTTTATTATTTATTTTCTAAAAGTCATTTTAGGCTCTGGCCCATAAAAAGGCCTCCAAAAACAAAAATAGCCCTGGGCCCTAAGAAGTCTTAATCCGTCACTGCCTATCTTTAGCATAGCTTTTTCAATTGTCGATTAATCTTAATTAGATTGTTGCAAAAAAGTTTTTTCTAGTTTTAATTAATCAGAACTTGTTTCACTCACCAGATTTACTTCTTTTGCGTTATGCCGTACAATCCGATATATTATAATATACAACATTAAAAATTTTTATTAATCAGTCTTTTTTTTAATTTTTTTTTTAATTTAATAATAATTATTTATATTTATCTTATTATAAAATGATTAAAAAACGTTCAGATATTTTTTTATTTAAATGCTATGCTTACTACAATTTTTTGCATTTATATGTTACAACCCAGTGGGAAAAAAAGACATCGAAAAGACGTCTTTAAAAGTTTTTTTTACGAAGTCTTTAAGACGTCTTTTTTTAATTGATTATGCAAATCTAAAAGACATCTTTTTTCGACATCGAAAAGACGTCTTTTTTTGTCTTAATCTTGTCATAAAAAAACATAAAAAATGCGTCTTTAAGACGCCTTTTTTTTGGTCGAACATGAAAATCTAAACGACATCTTTTTTCGATATCAAAAAAGCGTCTTTTTTGTCTTTATCTTCTAATGAAAAGACATAAAAAATGCGTCTTTAAGACGCATTTTTTTTCAAAGGCTCGGAACGACTTTTTTGCCATACTTATTAGTATACTATAGTATCCTATACGCTATAGTATTAAAACTTTTCATATATGAAAAGCTGTTTTTATCAAATGAAAATGATAATAGCTCTTCATACAAAGTATGACAAAAAGCTCTTTCCGATGCCGAAAAAAAAACCTCTTTTAGATGTCAATATAAAAGAGGAAGCATTTTCTACATCTTTTATATGTTTAAATATAGGAGAATAATTTCTAAATAAAACAATAGTATTGTTCAACAGAAAATTTTTTCATCTTTCTCTTTCTTTTCTGTTTCTTGAGCTAGCTCTGTTTCTTGGCGTTGTTGAATAAAATTAACAATTTCACGTCGAGAAGTCCTTTCATACGAGCAGGTTACGACTTCTAGCTGGCTACCACATTTAAAAAACGAGTGTTCATAAAAAACAGTTTATTGCTAAAATGTAATACAAAAAAAAAAAACGAAACTTGATTAGCTGAGTGGAGCACATTATACTTACCGACTATTAACTCAAAAAGGGCTGATCTTTTTAATCCACTCATGTTTCCAGCGCGGTCCCTTCTTTTTGAACCCACTAGGTTAGATTGGGACAAATTTAAACGGTAGACAGTCTAAAAATATATAAAAATGAGTGTGCTAAATAAATTTGCAACCATCAAAATGACTGTACAACGATGTATTTTATTATGTAGTACTTTAATCAAGCTAAACATTTGCACCTCTCAGATTTGCTATGAAAGCCAAGTTATTAAAAACAGATATTGATATTTTTCTGGCTTCTATAACATGACTTTTTAATTGAATTTCGCTGAAATTAAGTGTTGTAGACTCATAACATTTTAAATCCGTGATTGAATAAAGACTATTAAAACAAAAAGTTAATTTGGCTAATACACCTTGAGAGCTGCTATTCATTTAAACTGGAAAAAAGTATTAGTCAAAGCTCTATTTTAGACTGAAACATAAGGATGCTTTACTTAACAACATAAAATCATAAAAACTGGCAATACCATTAGCAACACAGATGTAATACACATTAAAAAAAAAATTAAAAATAGAAAGCTGTAATGTTGTTTAGATATAAGAAAGTGTACCTTTCCAGAATCATTTTCACTTGGTTTTTTGTATCCAAACCAAAAATTTTGCGAACAGTTCTAAAGATAAATCTGTTGTCATTATGTGTATATTTTTAATTGCTTTGTTAATGAGAGACAACAGTTAACAAGGATATAACATATTTAACATAAAAGTTAAAGAGCCAATCTTTTGTATAAACAATTTCATCATTCAACTAAATAAAAACAACAAAAATATTATATGTATATATATATATATATATATATATATATATATATATATATATATATATATATATATATATATATATATATATATATATATATATATATATATATATATATATATATATAAATAAAAGGTTAGATGAGAAAAAACAACTTTTTTACGGTACTTAAAGTTTCATGCCGTTTTCGGCACTCATCAGCCATATATTTAAATCAAGAAAAAACCGTTCAAAAATACAATTAAAAAACCGTTACAAAATTCAAAAAAAAACAATGGAATGAGTTCTGACGTCAAATAATTATAATACAAATAATAGCAAAAATAATAATGATTATAATAATAATAATAATATAATAATAACAATAATAAAAAAGTAATAATAATAATAATAATAATAGCAATAATATTAACAATAATAATAATATTATGGAAAAAACATATTTTCTAATCGCCAGTGTCAAATTGAGAAAGGAGGAATCTGTTTCTATGTCTGCACTTAGAAACAATCTCACTCCTTTTATTTAGTAGATTGGTATTTTTATAATTTAGGATTTCATATTTTTTGGTGAGACATAATTTACAAGATTTGGATGTAGGATTATATGCTTTACATCGCCTGAGAATTTTCCACTTAACTATAGGAACTAAATTGGCTTCTTTTATTTTCCATACCTGCTTTGACAGCTCAGTATCATTTTTGTATTTTGGGATGTTAAAAGATTTAACGTGGTTAGCGTATCTCAATTTAAAAAAAGTCTCACTTACACCGATGTAGGATTTTTCGTTAGGAGATGAATCACTAGTGGTGGTTACAGTTGCTTGGTATACAATGCTGCTTGTTAAACATCTATTGGACAACGGGCAGAAATTTTTATCTAAGCAGTTACAGTTTTCTTGATTAGAGTTTGCATCGTTGTATAAAATGTACTTGTTGTGCGAATTTATGATCGATTTCACACTTGGCATACAACTGTAGCTAACTTTGACTGTGTTCCTGTTAAAGATTTTATGTAGTTTGTTATTATTAGGAAAATGTTTGCCAATTAATTTCAAAAAACATTTTCCTACGTTGGTGCTAACATTTTTGCTAAATGGAGGATTAAACCAAATGATGTTGCGTGCTCTGTTCCGTTTTTTATTATCAGGTTTGAGATAAGGTTTAAAGGTGCACTCACTAAGATTTAGAGATTTAGATTTTTTTCACTAAGATTTATTCTATATATATATATATATATATATATATATATATATATATATATATATATATATATATATATATATATATATATATATATATATATATATATATATATATATATATATATATATATATATATATATATATATATATATATATATATATATATATATATATAATGGAGTGTTCATGCACTGTCTGATTTAGGGATAGGCACCGAGGAATGTCGTGCATTTACAAATTTAGGGATAGGCGCAGTGAAGTGTGCATTCGTTTACTAATTTAGGGATAGACGCAGTGAAATGTGCATTGCTTTAATAATTTAGGAATAGGCGCAGTGAAGTGTACATACATTTACTAATATATGGATAGGCGCTGTAGAGTGTACATGAATTGACTGAGGGTCTTGGTATGGGGTGGCAATCATTTCTATTTATTTAATGGAAAATCCTATTTAATTTTTTACATTTTTTTTGTTTTTGTTTTTTAAAAACAATATGTTAAACTTTCTTCATTTTACGGTATAACAAATATTGTTTATTTTGGCATGTGATATCCTCAACCAATAAAAAAAACTTTCGGTAGGATAATTTTTATTTTTCTGCTAGCGACTTTCGGTAGCGATATATATATATATATATATATATATATATATATATATATATATATATATATATATATATATATATATATATATATATATATATATATATATATATATATATATATATATATATATATATATATATAATATATATATATATATATATATATATAAAGATTTCTATTTGTTACTTTAAAAAGAATATTTGTAAAAAAAATCAACTTTCTAAAATTCGAAAATTAGAGAAAGTGTACTGTATAAAAATAAAAAATATAAAAATATTTTTTCAAAAAATTAATAATTAGTAATTAATTCACTTATTTTATAAATTTTTTGGTTTATTTCTGATTAAATTTTAATAAAATAATATCAAGAATTGTTTTTGTTAAAACATAAGGAATTTAATTAATAAATATCTTTAATTATTGGTACTTTTTTTTTTTTTTTTAAATAAGCATTTTTTTTTTTTTTTGGTAGTTGATTTAGGTGCTCCAAGAAGTCCTTACCGTCTTATCAAAGAGCACCGCGGGAGAGCATTTAACAAGAAGTTCACGCCTCCTTCCGTACCAATGTCGCTTGTTGGGCTAAAGCTGGCGTCGAACCTGGAACCTTTTGGCTCTGAGCTAGAACTCTAACCACTGCGCCACGGCTGCTCATTTCGTTACAATATTTAAAATACCTATATATAATAAAATGCATATATATAATGATCGTTATTAAATCATAAAAAAACGCAGGGACTCATAGAAGACCATACGGTCTTATCGTCGAGCACCGCGAAGAAATGTTCGTGTTAAAAATTATAAGATATTTACAAGATAAAAAATAAGTAACAAAGTAAGAAACTTAAAATATTCCGTTACAAATATAAGATACAATATTACATATTACAGTTGTTAATGATAAATATATAATTTTTATAAATTCATGTTTAAATAGAGGGTAAAAAGGAAGATTACCAAAAAATATCAAAAGTATATTGTTAAATCTTCGATTGTAAAAATGAGTTCTTTAGGCTTTCGATTTAAAAGAAAAATAGTTACTTTGATGAATAAAATCCTGAGTAAAGTTTTTTTAAATTATTTTATTCTATAAGAATGGTCCGCGATAATCAATACAAAATTTAAAAAGATTTGTTCGAAAAATGGGTTGCTTAATAAAATTATCATTGCGTAAAATGTATTTTTTTTTTTATCCTTTGATGAATACAAATTATTAAAAGAAATCGGGGATAAATTGGTTTTACTTTTAAACATAAAACAAAGAATATTAAAAATATTAAGCTCATATATAAAAAACTTATTTTCAAATAATAAAGGCTTGGCATGAGTATAACGGTCTTTAAAATATATAAGACGTACTACATGCTTCTGCTGACAATAAAGAGGTTTAAGTTTATTTTTATTTGTACTACCCCAATCAATGTTTTCATAATTTTTGTGACATTGAATAAATGAGTGATATAATTTTACTAAAGTATGTTTATCTAAAACAGTTCTTGCTTTGTACAATATTACTATACTTTTTGAAATTTTACTTGATTAGTTTTTAATATGATTTTTTCCATTTAAAAATTTCATCTACACGGACACCTAGAAAGTTGGTTGCTGTTACTTGTTTAATTTGTATACTGTCAGTAACAAGTTGAGGCATGTTAATTGTGAGTATATTTTTTGATAACAGGATGGAAAAGAATCCATTTAGTTTTATCAATGTTAAGAGATAATTTGTTAGTCTTAAACCAGTCAGATATTTTGATTAACTCGATGTTCGCGTAATGAAATAGAGTAGGAATGATAGAGTAGGATGAAAGTAGAAATAGAGTAGGATGAAATAAATAGAGTAGGATGAAAGTAGAAATAAATTAGTATCATCAGCATAACTGTTATTAAATCTGAAAAAATATAACTGTTATTAAATCCGAGGCTTTGTATAGATCATTAATATAAATAAGGAAGTGAAGAGGTCCTAATGTGGATCCTTGAGGATCTACACATGTAATATTTAACAAATTTGATGAAAATGTTTCACCGGCGCACAGTGAGTCAGAAAGGTGAAAAAACGGCAAAAATTATATAACTACAAAATATATACATCTGATACATCATTACAATCGTATTTTTGGTCAAAAAAGTTAAATTTGCTATTAAAAATAATTTTTACGCGTACCAATGACGCGTACAATGTACGTTTACGAGCGTGTGTCATTAACGCGGGCAAAATTTGCTTTAAGTAAAAAAATCGGATTCCTTGATCCAAAATACCACATATTTTTTAATATAAATTTTAGTTGTGTCTAAGGCTCGTACTACACATGTGTATACGTGTTAGAGTCTTTTAGGCGCACAATGAATGACTTAATTTAAAAAGATTATATTCTTCAAACCAAAACATTTACTAATTAAAAAGTAAAATTGGATTCAAAAAATCAAAATACAGCTAAATATTATAATAATATTAAAATATATTAAATACAAAATAAATATTTATCTAACCTAATTTTTCTTTCGAGAAAATAAAAAATAAAATCTTGTATTAATAAAAAAGCTTTATTTCATTATTACGGTATTAACAGAGATAAAACTTCAGGGGTAAGGGTTTTTCCATTTTTAAATCTGTATTTTAAAAAGAAATGATATTTCAGGATCATTTCTAATAATGAGGTATTCAATCTAGCTTTGCAAATTTCCTTATTCAGAACCTCTAATGACACTTCAGAGTAGTAACCAATTTACATTGGCCTCAATGCCTCAGATATCTGCACACCGTGTTCCAAGAGTTTATGAACAGTTGGGAGAGTCACATACCAGCAATAGATTTTGAGTATAAGGGCTGTAGTTTCATAGCAATAGTGGCTAAAACTTTCAGAGTTCTACTCATAAGAGGAGCATACTGATACTAGGATTGTCCTCAATCTAATAACTACATCTACTGCCACTCCTGTTATATCAGCAAAAGCTCTAGCATTTTTAATTGCCCTTCTGGCAGTGTTTTCATCGTTAGTGCTGCTAAAATCTGTTTAAGCATATCAATTTTAAGACTTAGCTTCTCTCTAAACCTCAGTTAAAATACTTTTTTCTATTTTTTACTAATGTTTTTTCAGCAGGGTATTTGGCAAAGTACTTTTATCCTTAAGTAACTTATATCCTAAATGTAAAATATATTTAAAAGATCTGAGCCAGCAATGCAGAATAAAAAAGAAACAAAAGTTTTTTATCGATTGGTTTAAATCTGATCAATGCTGTGTTATTAAGTTCGCTGGGCTGAGTAAGTGTTAGTAAGGGCATTAACCACTTTACGATCAAACGTAGTTAAATCTAGTTTGATCTTAAATGTGATAGTCTTATCCGTTTTGCCTTCCTCTACTTCTAACTTTACCTCAAACTTAATTAGTCTATTCTTTTTTTCTTTTAAAATTTCATATTCATTTCTTATCAATTATTCCGTTTTAAAATATGCAATATGCCGTCAACTCTTGCATATTTCGATTTTCGAGGTTTGATAATTATGCTTGAGTATTTTTACTAATAGGAACTAAAGGTATTACTTTCGCTACTTTATACGCAAGTTTTAATTAAAAACGGAAAAAAACATATAAAAAATACGAAGTAATTAAAAGGTCTTATTTCTATTGGGGCAAGTGATTTTTATTTTTTCTGCTTTCATATATACCCATCGATTGAAAAATGTTAAAACTACCATGGAATCTAGTGGAATCTATTAGTTTTTGAACTAAACTCATAATTAAACTAATATAAAAAAATCAATTTATGACACATTTTTGAGATCTCAGTAATGAAAATCTAAAATTAAAATTTATTGTCAAAAATGTTATTAATAGTTACCAAAAATCTTAAACATATGACTTCAATTTAAATTTTGAACTGTTTTTACCCATATCAATCTTAAAAAAGTGACACTAAAGCAAAACTTTTGTCAACGAGTTTTCCGAGAAATAAAATAAAAATAATAAGTCATGGAAAAAGGCGTATATAGTGATGAAATCTTAAAAATTAATCACATTATTGTCTTTTAGTGGTATTTAGTTACATAATAACTTAATTATTTTCTAGCAAGAGTTTTTTATGGTTGTTTTTTTTTGCCGTTTTTTATGGATTTTGACTCACTGTGCGGCGCAAACAAATTGTTTACACTTAGTTAAATATTTTTTCAACCATTTTAAAACATTGTCTGTTATACCATAATACTTTAATATTTAGCAAGAATTTTGAAGAATGGTGTCAAACGCTTTCGCTAAATCAATAAATATTCCCGATGATTTAGAATTGTTAAAAAAGTATGACGTACTTTTTGTAAGCTGAATAATAGCATACTCAGTTGAATTATTTTTTTTTAAATCGATATCGCATGTTACATAATAATTTGTTTGATAAAAGAGGATTGTTACACCTACGTACAAAACTCTTTCTAAAATTAAAAAAAAAAGGATAGAGATTTAGAGAGAAGATTGAACTTATTTTTTTACGAATTAATTTTTAAGGAAATTGAACGATAGTTTTTTACATTACTTTTTTCTCCTTCTTTAAATATAGGAATAATTTTTGCAATTTTTAAATCATCAGGAAAAAACTCCCTGAAAAAACTCCCTTTAAAACTTAAAATGTTACTTTATGTACTTATTTAAATCTTAAAATGTTACAACATATTTTAACATTTTAAGAGAAATGATAAAAACCAGTTTGCGTGCAGTAATTTTAAAAAAAGAATTCCAAAAAAAGTCTGCTTTTATTTGACGTCTATTAGCAAAAAATAAAAAATATTTGAAACTATTGTCGCTCGATTTCTTTTTACTCTCCTTATTATTTGTAATAATAAAAAATTGTGACTGACGTCTGTAAGGTAAAAACACAATACTGATTTGTTACCCACGTGAAATTCAGTTTTTTTTTTTTTTAATTAAGTTTAGGAGAGATAACCCCCTCCCCTATACATGCGTATGTACTTTATGGATTGCCCCTATACTTGTATATTGTCAACTTAATGATATAATAAATTAATTAAAAACCAAAAAGACAAAAAACATTTTTTCATAAAAGTTTTTCACGTTTATTTCAGTCCGAAAAGATTAGTGGATTGAATCATGTTACTACAGAGGTAGCCAGTTTTTATTTGATACAAATTTTATGCAGCAAAAAGAGTGAAAATTAATAAGTAAAAAAATATTCTGGCTACTTCTGTAGTAAAATATTTCAATTCATTTTTACCGATGTAAACTTTTTTATTTATAGTTATAAAAAACAAAATTATTTAATAAACGTATTTAATGTTTAATAAAGAAAACTATCGGTTTACAACTCTTCATTAATGGTAAGCTAAATTAAACCGGAAATAAAGAAAATATCATCGGTTTTTTAAATATTTGAATTTATTTTTAAATACGCACAAAAATAAATGAACTATGTTCTGTGTAAAAATTATTTCCAAGTATTTAACGGTTCTCGGATTATTAACCTATTTCCTTTTTTAGTAAGAGTGTAACGCTTAGTTCGTTGTACAAAACTTTGCAATTTTGGGAACGGTTTACTGTAAATGTCCCATCAGCGAGCATCAGCGAGTTTATGCTTTATTAATTAAAAGTTCATCAAAAATTAAAATATTTTTGTCATCTTTGTAGCTATCATATTTTACAAATCGTCTCAAAATTCAATCTCCGTGTAGCGAAAAATTAGCAACTAAACAATTTTGATGTTTTATTGTTCCTAAAATTATGTACCAATCTTTTGAGGTTCAGTAAACTACATTCACAAAACTGTAAACACTACTTTATAAAGAAATAAATCAACGTAAACTCTTAAAACATCAAAGGAAAAATAAGTTTAAACCCAATTTTATCATAAAAATCATTATAAAATATTAGAAATCACAACTTTAAAAAATAGTTCTGAAAATATAAAACAAAGACAAAAACGTCGTAATATAATACATTCTAATCCCGTAGCAATGTCCTAATTGCATTAAATCTGCAAGATTAAAGTTCACTAAGTCAATATTCTTTACAGTGAAAGTTTTAAATCAATTTCTAGTCACAATTTACAAAAAAAAGTGAAATTTTTAAGAGTGCATCCTTTTAAAAATTAAGGAAACTCGATTTCTTCCTCGACATCTGAAACATTTAATGGTGGAATAGGATTTCTCCAGTAACTAAACGCAGTAAACTGCGAAGGTTCGGCGCACATATTTTTAGAACTTAAAGGTGGAAACATTTGATCTACAAGCTGGATAAGTTTATTATATCTAAAAGTATAAATTTTTTAAAACATAAACAAAACAAAAACATTAAAAAAAAAAAATTTATGCCTTTTTATTTAATAAGTCAACAAACAAGAAAAAAAAAGAAAAGAAATAAAGAACAGTTACAAACTTGATTCACATATATTTATGACATATTTTAAAGTTGAATATGTGTAGATATGCGTGAAATAATTATTAACATGTGCGACATCGAACACTATATAAACACTAACGTGTCCTACTTCTATTTTTTAATAATTTTTGTCTGTATATTGAGCTCAATGATTTATTTGATGGTGACAATGGCTAACAGAAAAATTATTTTGCAAAAAAATGATCAAAGAAAATGTTCCAATCGCACAAAACATTATTCATTGTTAATATAAATGTGAAAAACATTTGTTGCATAAAAAGTTTCACAAAATGAATTTAAATGTAAACGAATAGTATAAACTAAAGTAAATCAATGAAACGAATATTACTTTTTCAATACTTTTTATTACTTTATTATTGATTTGGCTGCATTTTTGAACATCCTAAAAAAATCTATTAAATAAGTGTTTAATTTTTGAACATCATAAAAAAGTCTATTAAAAATCAAAGTTAAAATTCATCACTAGATATCAAACTTCATCAAAAATCTCTTGTGATTAATAACTTTAGTAAAATATATTATTTACTTAAAATGAGAGAGCTGTTAATTGCATTTTGAAGAACTTTTAAGGATGGATACTTTTGATTTAACTTGAATGGATATGAATGGTAATAAAATGAACGCTCTATATAAGCAACCCCTCTAAAAGCAACATTCTTTATAAGCAACCTCTATACAAGCAACTTTAGTTCAACTGTTCTGTATAAGGAACTCGTTTTTTTAAAGCTAAATATTTGAGTTAAGTTTAGGCTAATTCAGAAGTAAAATTAGATGTTCACAACAACATAACCTCAAATTATAAAAAATTTTCTTAATGGAATATGCTTGTGTTTTTTGATGCCAGTATTGAAGTGAATTTCTGTTAAATAGAATAGTTACTTGAATTTTGTTGGTTTTTGTTGATTAATAAATTAATCAACTCAACCTCAAAGTTGTAAAAAATTAACCTCAAATTGTAAAAAAATAACCGCAAATTGTAAAAAATTATTTGAATTAATTTGTGTTTTGTGTTGACAGTATTGAAATAAATTTCTGCTAAATAGAATAGTTACTTGAATTTTGTTAGATAATAAATTAATATTTTTGTGCTTTAAATTCAACCATAAAATTTGATTCAGAAGAAAAAAAGACGTTCAATATTGTTAAAAGATAAATTATCCATTTTAAAGGACATTGAAGATGGTGAGAAAACAAAGGACATTTGTAGCGAATATAAAATTGTTAGATTTACAATAAGTAGAGTAAAAAAAAAAATAGAGAAAATTTAGAAGAAAATGCAACACATGTGAATCAGAGTAAGATTAAGCGAATGAAGACAATAAAATATAGTGAAACCGACTATACAGTATTTTTTTAATTCTTGGAGCAGCGACAATTAAACAATTTAGTTCCAAATAAAATGATAAAATTAAAAGTACTCAAAGTAAATAGATTAAATAATGGACCAGAAACATTTTTTACAGGTGACGGATGGTTAACAAAATTTTAAAAATGCCACGGTTTGCAGATTTTGTCTGTTTGTGGAGAGAGTATGTCTTGGAATGTGGAGCTAGGTAATTCATTTAAAAATAAATTTTAAAATTATATTGTTGAAAACTGCTTTTTGCCTAAACAAATATATAATTGCGACAAAACTGGTCTCGTCAATAAAAGCTTGCCCAATAAGATTAATGTTACAAATTTTTTGAAAAATCCGCAGTTTGAAAAAAAAGCAATGAAGGAAAGAGTAACAATTATGCCATGCGTAAACGCTACAGGTATGCATAAATTATGCATAAATTAGATTTGATGATGAGAGAGAAATCAAAATCTCTTTGTTGCTTCAAAAATATTATTTTTTCAGTATATTACAAATCATCCAAAAATGCTTGGCAAACTTATACACTTTTTAACGACTGGTATAATGATATATTCATACCTTCAGTAACTCAACACTTGGAAACTAAAAACCTTCTTGTAAAAGCCCTGTTCTTAGAAGATAGTGCAACTTGCCATGGGTCTGAGAATAATTTTACTGGTAACCTGAACTTCAAAATTATGTTTTTTCCTCTTTATAACATATAATAATAACACACCATTATTGCAACCACTAGATCAAATTGTGATAAAATCACTAAAACAACGCTATGGCAAACATCTACTTGGATGTTTTTTGCAGCCTTAGGTGAAGAAGATAGAATAGTTTCAGCACTGAAAAATATAAATTTGAAAGATGCTATTTATTTAGTGGTGCAGGCATGATATGAAATTCCCGAGTCAGTTATACAAAATTCATTTAAACATCTGTTTTTGTCAACTGATGAAATTCAATACCACATTCTTTTCAATCACTTTTCAGAAGAAGATATTTCCTTGGCAAGATTGTATAATTTGATATTTCATTATTGTAATTTAGCAGATACTAAAATTACGAAGTGGAACAAGTGAAGCAAATTATCCATTTAACCTTGAAGAAAATCCTTAAGTAGAAAGTGAAACTACTCCTATTGACGAAAATGAAAAAACATTGGATGACTCCAATAAAAAAATCAATGATGTAATAAATTCTTTTAACTTGGTGATAGAATGCGCAAAAGAAAATGACACACCCTGCAATAAGGTTTTTGTTTTTTGTTACTAAACATATAAGAAAAAGCTATCATGAACAAATATATGTAATTATTTTTGTTTGTTTTGGCAATTAGCCCTGTACTAAACCAGAGATTTATTAAATTTTGATTGTTTAATTTTTTTTTTTCTTCCATAAAATAATTAACTGCACCTATATGATAATAATAGTAATAAAATATTTTCTTTTGCAAAATAAAACTGAATTTATTTATTCACAATTTATTTAGTAACGCAGTTTAGTTAGTAAAAAAACGTTAAATATTTTTATACTCCTTTTGTCTCTATAAGCAACTTCTCCCAATAAGAAACTTTCTTATTGAAATTGGTTCAAATGAGTTGCTTATATAGAGCGTTTACTGTATTACTCTAGACTAAATATGAGAGCCTATATCAAAAGCTTGTGTTATGTGGAATATTTTCCATATAAAGGGAGCAACAAAAGTAATTTGAATATTAAAACAAACTCTAAATTCATATCTAAAATTTTAGATAAGAGCTTTGGATCTAGAATGAACAAATGAACCTTTGATCTTGGCATACCTATATGAGCATTAAATTTGTTTCTGAATTGACTTTGAATTTTACTTTTCTTTGCTTTTGTTTCATTTTTTTCTTCACACATTTGTCATAGATCTTCAGGAAAAAGCAATATACAACAACATATAAAACAGAGTTTTCAAATGTGAAAAATACTTAAGCCATATCAAAGAGCAACTAAGTTAACATTGAACATTTCTTGTGTATCATTTACTGTCTTATATATTTCATTAGGAGAACAACCATGCACAGTAAATTGTTAAAATGAAGGCATATTAATGAATGCTAAAACCATTTTATCTATTAACATCAAACAGCTTAAATCTTTCCAGACTTTTGTAACTGTGTTACAAAAGTTAATTAGTTTCTAATTACAGAGTAGTTAATTAATTATAGTTACAGAAATTAATTAATTTTGTTACCTTTAATTCAAACAAATATTCATAAATTCTTTTTGCAATTTCAATGATAAAACTTAGTAGTCTGAAAAGTTTACCTAGCCCAAATCTAAAAGGAATCTATTATTATTGGCCCAAAAATCTTAAGGGATCATAGATATCATGATAAACCTAAGAGTCGTTAAGAGAACATTGATATCACAAATAATGAACAGTTTCTAATTTTAATTGAATCTTGTTAATAATACAGTTTACAATTTGTTGCATGCTACCATTTTAGGTTAAAGAAACATAAATGTTCATTGCAAAAAATCATTAAATCCTGCAACATTTTTCTCAGTTCATACTGTACTTATACTTTTTTTCTCTTACTAATTCTTACAAGAGTATGTATTAATAGATGCTTTCATTCTACTTTGATACAATTTTTGATTTGAAGAATATTGAGATTTTGAAGTTGATACCAACTTATAAGGAGGAAACTCATCACCTTAAGTTTTGGATGCAAACCTTATTTGATTATACTGATCTTGATGAATATGTCATCATCATCTTTATGATTTTTATTATTCATAGTAAATTAACTTTTTTATTACCTCCATATCATTTACTGGTACATCTATAGCATATCAGATTGTAAATCATGACTAAATACGCAAGAACAAAGAATTAGATATTTTCAGTTTTTAAAGTTTTTAAAAAGCCTTAAAAACTTTTAAACAATTTTTTTTTTTTTTTAAACAACTTCGCTTCCAACAAGGCTGCAAACAACCACTAATCAGTGTTCGAAGTTACTGGAAAAGAATAGATGAAGACTGTAGAGCAAGACAATGATTGACAGACGACTTAAAAGATTGCAAATTTTTTGCCCTTTTTTCTTTTAGACAAGGATTTTGCACCTTGTCTAAAAGAGAAAGGGCATCATTAGAAGATCCACCCCAGATATGGCAATAGTATTCCATACAAAGCCGGATTTGAGATTTATAGACATAGAGAATAGAATCCAGAGTAAGAAAAGGTCGAGCACAATAAAGAGATGCAACTTTAGCAGATGCCAATTTTGCAACGGATTTGATATATGGTTTCCAAGAAAGATCAGAAATAAGAGTTAATCCTAGAAGATGAAGGGTGGTTGACTCATCGAGTACATTACCATTCATAAGTATAAGAAGGTCTAAATTATTGCAATAACGATTGGGTGAAAAAAATTGAGTTTTATCTGAATTAAAGTTCACCAGCCACTGTGAGCCCCATGCTGTAGCAGAAGTGAGATTTTCAAGCTCAAATGACCCCTCCAAGCAATCAGAGAGAGTTAGCTTCTTATTATGACATGAATAAATGGTAGTATCATCAGCGAACAATGACACCTTAGATGTGAGAATATCTAGAAGATCATAAATGTAAAATAAAAAGAGTATAAGGCCAAGGATTGAATCTTGAGGAGCCCCTAAGGATACAGAATAATAAGAAGAGTGCTGTCCATCAAGGACAACTTTTATACTGGGATTGGAAAGGAAAGACTCAATAATCTTAGACTAGCACGCCAAACTTTATCAAACACTTTAGAAATGTCAAGAGCAATGGCCTTAACCTCTCCACCTTTATCTGATGCACGATAAAACCTATCGGTTATTACTGTTAGCAAATCAGCCAAAAAAGAAGATCGAAATCCATATTGATGATTATAAAGTAAGTTATAAGATTCAAGATGAGAGATTAAGTGTTTGTTAATTAAAGATTCAAAAACCTTGCTTATGATAGGAAGAAAACTAATGGAACGGTAGTTTGACGAAAATTTAAAAATAGGGATAACAGATGCTGCTTTCCAGCAGGCTGGAAAACAAGACTCTGACAAGCACTTGTTGAATAGTTTTGAAAGGATAGACGACAGCTCTGGAGAACACTTCTGCAAGACTATAACAGGTATGTTGTCCGGGCCACAAGCTGTAGAAGAGTCTAAGCAGGAAATCACTAGATACAGAAGCTGGAGTGATACAAATGTCAAGCAATGAATCAAAACCTTTTTACAATGCTTCTTAGCAGTAATAAACAGACATCTGTTTCCTGGTAAATTGTTTTGCTGATAGATATGGAAGTAATATTTTGGATTGGCAATTGAAGCAGCACAATGCAAGGAAAACCATGGAGAAGAGTGAGGCTTGACCTGAAATCGTTGAGAGGGAATAAAGGATTCCATGCCAACCTGAATCCACCAAGTTATGCAAGAAGCACATTTGTCAACAGGAAGACGAAAAATTTCTACCCAAGGGCTATCACAAAGAAAATCACGAAAAGATTCCCAGTCAGCTTCAAGGTAGTTATAAGATATATGATGATAGGGGGATTCTGATGATAAAAAAGGAATGAGATAATAGTTTTAGAGAAATCAAACTGTGATCAGAAGCACCTAAGGGTGAATGTGGAGAAACTGACCACTGACAAGGATCAGAAACAAGACATAAGTGGAGTGGAGAAGGTAAAGGATTGGGGATATATTGGGGAAATTGAAGATATTTTGGGCTAATTTATTTAAAATGAATATATATAAATAATTTATAACTATATATAAATTTCTTTTGTGTGATAAATATAATACTATATGACTTCTTCATATTTTATTTTGGTTTTTTTACTTGCGCTCTATTCAATACAAAATATATTTCACAACAATAAACCTGAATTGAAACTGTTGCTGCTTAGTATTAGCACAGAGATTAAAAAATGGCTTTTGTCATACAGCGAATGGAATTGAGATATTAACTAATGCTACCTAAGTTTGCTCCACCCCTCATGAAATCTTTTGAATATAATATAAGACCTGATGATAACCCAAAACATTGTTGATACATCAACATTAATTTACTGACGCTGGCAATTAGTTGTGCAAATTAATGGAGGGGGGGGGGGAGGAATTTCAATTTCAATTACCAATTCATTCTATACACTTACCATAACTACAGCAAATTTTTTTGTAAAAACAAGTGTTAGCAATAGCTTTGCAGAAAGTATTGTGCTTAAATGCATTTGTTAGTTCCCATTAACACAATCATCCCCACTCTGTACATTTGTGATTCAAAATTAAATGATTATTTTAGAGCAATTAGAGGGAAAAAAAAAGATCAAAAATGTTTACAACCATGTAAAAGAAATGCATTTTTGTTTTGGGTGTTACAGTCTGATTAATATTCTGAATTATTTACTTTAGCAAATCCAAAACCAGATTATGAACATTTAACAATAGTAATTGATAAAACTATGCATCACACCTTGGCTACAGTAAAATCACTATTTTTAAACTTCTCCATCCTTGTATGCAACTGTACACTTTTAATTTTATTATGACAAAATCAAGACCCTCTCGTAAAAAAAAAGACTCTTCATAAAAATCAATAACAATAAATATCAAAACTTCATGTCAATGTAACTTTAGCACTGTTGTATAACATTTAAATGCATTCAAACATGTTCTTAAATATTTTGATCAATTACATCAAAACAGTTGAAGACCCCTCCTTCTTGTATGCTATTGGCTGACCCCAATAACTTTATGGATGCCATTTTAGCTATCAATTATCTAAACAATTTTATAGATATTTTCAAAAAAAAATTTTTTTAATAAAATTTAGTTTTTTTAATAACTGTGAGAATTGCTTTTATCACCTGAACATGCCAATAAAAAGTTTAAAACCCTAAAGCATATAAAGTATAAAAGAATAAGTTAACAAAATAAAAAACTGTACATAAAAAAAAAACTTACGAGGATGTATAAGCAAGAGTTAATTCATGTTTCACTTCACCCTAAAAATAAAATTTTTTATTGTTAAACATAATATCTTAATTTATCATTTTAAACCAAAACAGAACTCATAATAAAATTGTAATAGACTTCAATACATTTACTAAGTTTAAGGCATAACTACAGTGTTAACCAAGTGTCAGTAATATCTACATATAAAGGAGATAAATAACACCAACTTTTACTAAATTTAAAGTTAATTAAAATTAACTTCAAGAACTTCTTTAGTGTTGATTTAATAGGTGAAAAAGTAATAAGAAACAAGCATTTTATTTTTTGCTATTTATTGTTTTTTATGTTTATTATATATGTTATAAATCTACAGTTGTCATCATGATATATGTAGAGTTTTTGTCTATGTTTAGAGTGATGCTCAATAGAAAACTGAAATTAGCTGTAACAACTAGACATTTAATTACTAGCATTTCATATTCAATTATAAAAAATCTTATTTATTTTTTGTATATATTACACAACCCCATACCACTATTGGTTCTATTGAAATTTTCTTACCTTAATTTAATAAAATATCCTCAAAAAGGATAGGTTAAGGAAAGGTTGTGCATATCAGCAATGTTTAAAAGAGTCTGTTATACTCTACATTAGATTCAACAGCGAGATGACATCAAAGTCAATCATCTAATCAATAAACCTAGTATTTCTAGTTCAATCAACTACAAAAATTTGATAATCTCTATGATAATAATGGATCTGGACTACTAGTGAAAATTTCCCATTTTATGGTAAATTTTAAATCTGAAAGGGTAAAAATAAAAAAGTAAACAAAAATTATTTTTTTTTACATAAAACTTTAGGAAAACATTTGGAGGATTGGTACTTATTTACATAAAACTTTAGGAAAACATTTGGAGGATTGGTACTTATTTACATAAAACTTTAGGAAAACATTTGGAGGATTGGTACTTATTTACATAAAACTTTAGGAAAACATTTGGAGGATTGGTACTTATTTACATAAAACTTTAGAAAAACATTTGGAGGATTGGTACTTAGTTACATAAAACTTTAGGAAAACATTTGGAGGATTGGTACTTATTTACATAAAACTTTAGGAAAACATTTGGAGGATTGGTACTTATTTCCACAACTTCAGCCTAATCACAAAGATTACTTAGTGCACTTAAGCAATGTCCGAATCAACTTGGAGGCTGGAAAAAGGGCATGGAACCTAGTATTTAATCAACCAGCCATTTTGACTATACTTTTTATTTACATACATCCTTTCAATACAATTCCTCCCAAAAATTGACTGAAAACTATGGCACAACATGGCAAGTTTTATCCCAGAGTACTTTGCTGTGCATTGTTCAATAAATTTTTTGCAAGCTTAAAACTAAATAGGTAATTTAGAAAAAGAAGAAAAAAAAAAAAGAAAAATCAAAGAATTTTTTTTTTAAATAAACGTCCTTCATAATAAATATATCTAAACTATTAATCTTTATATCTAAACTATTAATCCCCAAACCCAAACCCTCAGCCAGTTTATGTACTGAAGTTCATGCAAGCTCATTCTAGTAAATGGCTAGAAAAAAAAAAAATACCTTATAATTAATTGTAAATATCCGAGATATTGGTATACCTACAGCTCTATAAGCCCACATGTCCTAAAGTAAAAAACATCCATGACTATAAAAATATGTATTAATAACTTTCAAAATTTATTAGAATTGTAAAAGGAGCATCTACTAAAGCTTTCTCAATTGCAATTATCTTATAACTAAATCACTATCTTTATACAAAAAACACACTAAACTATGTCAAAGTGTGCTACAAATATAATTTTCTTTTACTCACTGCGCTTTAATACAGTAACATTACTTACATTAACACGATTTCCAAATCCAGAATGGAATGGGTTAACATCAGTTGGAAATAGATTTAAAATATCTCGCATACAAGAAATTTTAAATTCTTCTGGTTTACGATCAATCACTTCCCTACAACAAACATGATATAAACACTTGATACAGTAGGACTAACTCTTTTTTTTATGAAAACAATAAACAGATCATTCAAGAAATAAAAAAGTTAGGCTATCTTTACATAAAAATAATAATTAAAAATCATTATAAGCTACTTTTTAAATGCAACAAACAGAGAGGTTGGGGTGAGAAATAATGGTCCATCAGGTAGTTCCATCTGTCCTTGTCGTACATTATTTAAAAACTCTCTTGTCATTGATGCCTAGAAAACAAAAACAAAAGTTATTATGAGAATTAACTCATGTTTAAAAGACATTGTTTTTTACCTGTCCAATTGCTCTAGCAGAAAGATAAATAAACTTGTAACCATTCTTCTTAATTTGGGTAAACAACTCTGTGACTCCACTCTGCGACCAGTCTTTTCCTACATGTGGAAGTATTTGACCTAAAACATCTGATTTTGTGATTGTTCCATCAATATCAGAGATAATGATTTTATCGGAATAGTCCCACAAAAATATTCTTGCACTACATTCCGCTGTTCCCTGAAATATTTACTTCATTTTATATCCAAATGAAAATGTTGGAAAATCAATTTCAGATGGCAAAAACCAAACCTGCAATCGTGTGGTAACAGAAAAGGTGACTTTGTTCGGACCATATTTTAAGTTCAATGCTTTCCACTGTTTAGAAGTTAATCGTAGTGTTTTTCGATATTCAATGTCACAATCAGAAAACCCATCAGAAGTTCTATTCATTGCATCTGAGTCATTAACTTCGGCTATGGGCAAATTGCGTTGATGCTGATAAATAGCAGGTTGTACTAAATTTTCATCATCTGATGAGTCCTATAATAAAACAAAAGTTATTCTATATATACTAAAATTATTTGATAATAATTATCTTTACTAACTGATAAGTAAAAATTAATAAAATAATTTAAAAAGTATATATAATAAATAATATAATATATGTGTCAAAATTTAAAAGATTACATCATTTGTGGTTCTCCAGTAAAACCATCCTTTTCTTGTCTTTGGCATGTACTGCTTTTTAAGCAAGTTTAGACAATCCTTAAAATAACAACATAAATTTTCATTTTAAACACCCCATCCTAAATAATTTTACAGGAAATCTATAAAGAAATACAAAAAGGAAGAAAAAAAGTGATTGAAAAATTGCATCTTAATGGTGTAAATTTATCTTTAAATACTCAAAATAAAATAAAAAGAGTAATAATTAAAATAGAATAAAATATTTAAAATAATTTTAAAAATTTGTGTTTTTTTGAAATATATACTCTAGATATCATTTTGTTGTTATAAATTAAATAATAATAGAAATAATAAAAACTCTTACTTGAACAATAGGCTTTTGAAACACAATATAACTCATCAGATATGGAGCTGCCACTGCCCAATTGTAATAACTGAAACCATTTTAACTGTTAATATTTTTTAAAATACATGTTAGAAAAAATATATACTTTAAAGAGATCAAGGATTTGGATACAATGTTTTATTTGTTGTTTTGAATCTATCTATTTTGAATCTATTGAATCTGTTTGTTGTTTTGAATCTATTTATAATCTATAAATTTTTATAAATTGCCTTTACAAGACACTTTTGTTCTTCTTTTTTTTCTTTTTTCTTACCAACAAAAAATTTTTGACTTAAGATCTCAGAAAGCAACAAGTAGTTACTGTTGTTACCAGGCTGTATTATTTTAGCAAGATAACTTTATAAATCAATTAAAATTGCTACATTTTGTTTTTTATTTTACTTTTACTTTAATATTATATATACTTTAATTTAAAAAAATAAAGTTGTAATAACTTCATAAAATATTTATTCAACTAAATTCAAATACAAGAAAATTAATTAAATAATTTTGCAAACCTTATGAAAGAATTTTGAAAACTTTTTATTTTTATGAATTCCAAGGGTAAAATTTTTATATTAAAAAACTTTTTATTTTTATTTAGATGAATTTATTGCAAGGGTTCTAAAAACAGAATATCTGAAGGATATAACAATTTTAATTTATCCTGCTGCAATTAAATCAAAAAATAAATAAATAAATTTGGAAACTCTATTGTAATTTTTATAAATTGTAAATATTTTTTTATTTGTATAAGGTCAAAGCCGAAAGTCAACATAGTTTCTATGTTATTATGTCTTCATAGTTTATCAACATTATTTCTGAAATATATAGAATAATCACATCACCTTTTATCAAACTTGTTAAATTGTATATATAACAATAGTAAATATTCTTTTATTCATATAAGGTTAAAGCTGAAAGCTAACATAGTTTTAGGACTTTTTTTTTATGAATTTGTAAAAAAAAACTGTAAAAGTATTAACAAACGATGTCCAAAGGTGAACAATTAACAATGAAATTATGATTTCATTTTATCAATGTTTGATATTTCATTGTAATTTTATTTTATTATCAAATGATTACATTTTCTTATATTTACTATTTTAATAAAACCTTTATTTTTTTTTTTTTTTTAATTTGCATTCACTCCCAACAAGGCTGCAAGCAACCACTATTAAGTTGGGAGTTACTAGGGAAAAAAAAGAACAGAGTTATAGAGCAAGGAAACGGTTGACAGAAGACTTGAAAAGCTGAAGGTTGTATGAGTCAGGAAAACATGAAGATGGAGAGAGTTCCAAAGGATTGAAGTGCGGGGAAAAAAACTAGATGAATAAAAGTTTTTAGAGCATGCAGGGACAGATACAGTAAACGAATGAGACTTAGCTGAATGACGAGTAAAACGAGAATGAATTTTAGTTGATGGAACTAGAGATGATAACTCCTTTGAGCAGTGACCATGATAGTATCTGTAGAAAAGAGAAAGAGATGCAACTTTACGACGATGGGAAAGAGGTTCAAGCTTAGCAGATAGTCCAGGTTCAACAACATTTACAATGCGATTTTGGACCTTGCCAAGAAGAGAAAGTGAATCGTTAGAAGAACCAGCCCAAATAGGACAAAAGTATTCCATACAGGGACGAATAAGAGATTTGTAGAGGTAGAGAATGGAATCAGAAGTAAGGAAATGGTGAGCACGATAAAGAGAAGCAACCTTAGCAGAAGCTAATTTAGCAATCGATTGTAAATATGATTTCCATGAAAGGTCAGTAGTAAGCGATAATCCAAGAAGACGTAAAGTAGAGGACTCAGTAAGAGGATTGCCATTCATTAATATAGGAATGTTGACCATATTACGGTAGTTGTTTGCAGTAAACAACTGGGTTTTTTTAGAGTTGAAATTCACAAGCCACTGGGAACCCCAATCTATTACGGAAGTGAGATCGAATTCAAGATCAGCTGCTTGTTCTAGGCGATCGAAAAGAGAAGACTTTTTGTCAAGACAGGAGTATAAAGTTGAGTCATCAGCAAAAAGAGCTACTTTAGATGAAAGGTTGTCAGGAAGATCGTTTATGTAGATAAGAAACAAAACAGGGCCCAGGATGGGACCTTGGGGAACCCCAGAAGTTAATGAAAATAAAGAAGAGTGTTGGCCTTCAAGGCCATTTGATTAAA